GGGCCCCTCTCCTCACTGCTTGACACCCCACTGCTGGTTAGTTGCCGCACGATCTCGCCAGGCTGGAGCCCGGGGCTCAGGGCCTCGCCCTGCTCTCAGGGTCTGCTCCCTGGCCCAGCCAACAAGTCATTTCACCTCCCTGAACCTCATGCTTTCCGATTTGTAAAATGGAACTACCTGTAAATATTAACAGAATAAATACAGAATTAAGTTAGCAAAAGAAAAACTGGGTGTAAGTGTTGTAATGACCACATTGCTATACAAAGCCCAAAGGGTTGTGCCTGCGTTAGTCCCCTGTGGCAGTGAAGAATTCAGGGGCAGTCGAACTAGGCTCTTCCATGAAGCTTTGGAGCTGGCATTGAGACACCAACACCATTTTTGGTGCTGAGGAACTGTGCTAGATTTACTCCTTGTCATCTGGTTCCAGGCCAGATAGAAGGAGACCCTCACGGGGTGCCATCCTGGGCCCTGCTGGGCTCTGGGACGAGGCCCATCTGTCTCATTCTCTACGCAGCGTGTTCTGCCCTCCCAGGGCGCTGAGTGAAGAGCTGAGCCTTCCACCTGGCAAGAGGGCTGTGTTCCCCACATAACTGCAGGACAGCGTGCTGGCAGAAGCAGGCAAGGTGGTTTCTGTGACTTGCAGATTTACTGCCCTCCTACGTGACTTTTGCAAGCCAGCCTCAGGTGCAGAGTTCCGCCCGTCCACACCTCCTGCCTTTGTACAGCTCTGGATGGTGACGTCCTTTCTCAGGCATTACCTTGTGATTTCCCCACCAATCCTGTGGGGTACGCAGGCCAGGTTTTCTCATCCCCATCTGGCAAGGGAGTGGACTGAGGCTCTGGAGGTTGAACAGACTGCCCAGGGTCATGGCCAGTTGGGGCTTTGACTGGAATACAAGTCTCTGGACACCAGCCCAGAGCTAAGAATTTGGAGAGTGAAGGGAAAGCCCTTATTTTTGTTCCGAGTTGTCTCAGGCTCTTTGGCGCTTTCTAAGAGGAATCTTTTTTGAGGTTCCTTGTCCAAGCACATGAAGTTTTGATGGCAGGTCAGGACCAGGAATCAGGCCTCCTAACTATTAGCTCTTTGTTGCAATGAACTGTGGGTTAGGTATTGACTGGTGCTGTGGAGGGAATATGTGTGTTTTGCTCACATGTATCACTGTTTTGGCATTCCCATAATTTTTGAATTTTTGAATTTTTGAATGAAGATCATTGCCAACACGATCATTTTGGCAATGATCTCCATTAAAGATTGGATGACTCCCTTCTGTTTCTTCTCTGCATAATGCCCTGGGTGGCTCTGTCCCAACCTTAGAGGGACCCTCACTGTCACCCCTGACCCCATAGCCTAGCTGGGCGACCTCTGCACTGTGGGGCCTATACTTCCGGCTTTGGAGCCTTTCTGATGAATAGACAAGAGCCCATCACTGTCACTGTTTCACCTGCCCATGAGTCCACTCAGGTCTGGCCTTGGTGTGTCTGCTCTGGGTATGGTGACCAGGGCGTACCTGAATGCAAACTTTCACTCCTGTTATCCCCCAAGGCCCAGGGTGATCTTTTTTCTCAATACAAAAATAAATATTGGGGCAGTTAGATTGAGGACTCCTCAAATAAAAACTGTGCTTGTGGGAAAGACAACACTGCCCTCCTGCTTCCCTTTCTCCCTCCCTTCCTGTCAGATCAAAGAACTCTTGGAGAGGGTAAAGGACAAGGAGTAAAATGAGTAACAGCTGTGTGGTGCCTTCTTCTGTGAAGTGGAGATAATCAGAGAATTGTTGTAAGTCGGTGTTTCTTGGCCCTGGCTGCACATCAGAGTCACGGGGGAGCTTTGAAGCATGGTTAAGTCCTCACTTAACGTCATTGACAGATTCTGCAACTTTAAGCAAAACAATATGTAAAGAAACCAATTTTTACCATAGACTAATTGACATAACAAGAATTAAATTACAATAGCATCTCATCATTTGTTATAATCAAACGACATTATTCAAGGACCTGCTGTATTTCGATGCCCAGGCTGTGGCCCAGATCCGGGAGAGGAGTATCTCTGGAGATGGAACCCAGGCACCAGTAGTTTTAACGTGCCACATGATTCCAAGGTGCAGCCAGGGTTGAGGACCACTGCTCTAAGGATGAAAAGAATTGTCTGATTGTTCAGAACAGTGACATCCCCCAAGCTGGCTGTGCACTGGAATCCTCAGGGGGGCTTTTCAAATTGCACTGATTCCCTGGCCACACATTGCAGACCACTTAAATTAGCGGCTCCTGTGTCTAATGCCGCTTACTCAGCCTTCATGTGAGCCACAAATTAGTTGTCATAATAGCTACCATTTGTTAGTGCTGACTATGGGCCAGCATTCCAGATACTTCCAGTCTTCGCTATTCCCATTTTACAGATGAGGAAATTGATACTCAGAGCAAGCAGCCTCTTGCCCAAGGTGACAGCTTAAGTTCTGAACCAGACCTTGAAGCCTGCTTTCATGGCCTGGGTGCTGCCCCTAGTGGGGCCTATTCTCCACTCTTCCCAGTAACAGCCCAAGGACAGAGGAAAACCAGTAATTCACCTCGGCTCTCCTGAGGCTCCCCAGGGCAGTTTGAGAGGAGGGCCCCACCCCGTGAGGAGAGGGGGTATGAGTGCTGTGGCCTGGGCTGTGACTCCCAGTTGGTCGCCCACTCTCAAAGTACCTCCTGGGGCAAGAGGAGGAGGCCGGTTCATTAGGCCTGACCCCAGTCCCCTCTTATTGCCACAGCTGCTCTCACAAAGGGAGAACTCAATCAGGAAAAGCAAACACTCCTTTGCTTTTTGAGAGTCGGAGGAATTTTTTAGACATGCAATATAGAGAAATGCTTTTGGTTTCCCTCCTGAGAATAGGGGAAGCTACATCAAGGTCACCTGAAATATTTATTTCTGCTTTATAAAAATCCTGTGCCTCCACCTCTATGCTCTGTAAGCTTCCATAAATTGCTTAAAATCCTTAAGCTTCAGTTTCTCGTCAGTCAGCTGGGAAGAGGGAGCCCGTCTGCCTTCAGGGCTGCTGACGCCAGGCCCCTGGAGGCTCCAGAGCAGGAGGAGAGGAGTGCGGCCATGCCGATGCTGAGACTCACAGCCGCCAGGACTAGAAGCTTCGTCAAGTGTTTGCTGGCACTCACTAAAGGACCTGATGTCCCCAAGGCCCAGAGTGGTTCCAAGTCACCAGCTGTGTTAGAGATCTTGCTGAATGTATTCCCTCTGGCTTCGGGAGGACTGGCTTCGCTCCACCTGCGTCAGCCGGGTGTGTGGACAGCCGAGAGCCAATGTCGGGGCATACGTAGCTGAAACTTTAACATTAGTGGACAATGTAATGTAAATTGGGCTCCGTCAAGCCTTTTCTGCCCAGCCCAGGCCCCAGGGCCCTCTCTCTCCCCAGAGCTCCCTCTGTACCTGTGTCTGGGCCTTTGGTCCCTGTCCTTGATTGCCCAGCACAGAGCCCGGCACAGGGCGAAAGCTCAGCCAGCACTGAGTGAGTGGAGGGTGTGTGTCTGGTGGCATCTCTAAGGTGGTTGCCATAGCAGGTTGGCATATTTATTCCCTGCTTGCTCTGCTTGACTCTTTTTTTTTCTCACTTAGGTTTATTTTGAAGGTTGCCTCACGGAGTATTATTCTAGTAATGCAATGGTTTAGATGCGATGCTATTTTCTGAGGTTGAGGCAAGTCTCCTGAGCATTTCATTGTGTAGCTCTTACCCCAGAGACAGTAAGAGAGTACATTCTAAGTGTGGAGTCTGGTGGACCCCTTTTAAGCCACTAAGCTTAACCTAAGATGTTCTGAGTTCTGTCTCAAGCAGTGGTCATTGTGGACAGCAAGAAAACATGGGATAATAATGGAAAATGGTGCAGGGGGAGTGGGAAGACTCCCAGGAGGGGTGGCCATGGGGCAGTCTCCAGGGCCTCAGTGCTGCCCCCACTGGTTGTTTGGACTGAGAGGGTGAAGCAGAGGCTGCAGCCCCTCCCTGGGGGTGGGAGCACTCAGGGACACTGGCTCAGAGCTGCCTGTCACTCTGGCGTGGGCACCACGTTATGGCTGCTGTCTCTGTCCACAGAGCAAAGGATGTCCAGGCCCAGCCCTGACCCCTGTGTCTTAGTGGCTTTGTGGATGGTGGGCTACGTGCCCGTTTCTGGGGTCTAGCTTTGCCATTAACTCTGTGATGACCTCAGGAGAATGCCTTGACTTCTGTGCCTCAGTTCCCAAACACTTTACAACTCCATGGTCCCATCAGCCCTCTCACTGTGATGAGCTCCCACCACAGTTATTGACAGTGTTAGGCTGCCTCCAGCCCCACCAGGGTGCCCACCAGCCCAGCCTGCACAGCCTCTGGCCCTGTCTTTACATTACGTGCATCATCTACATGCTGTTCAGTCCCTCTTTTGTCGAGCTGCTTGGCTCACATCGGCTCATTGAGATTTTATTTGTTGGGAGGCAGTTGGGAGCAAAAGGGCAAAAATGAGAATATAGAGGTGTTTATCACCTCACAATTCCAAATGGACACATCTACCCTTGTACCCAGATACGGGAGACTCAACGGGATGATAGTTACCATTAGTATTTTGACCATGCTGGTCATTTTTTTGTTTTTCCTTTTTAATTACCTAGTATAAGCCTCTGGACATCGTAATGTCATCTGGTGAATACTAGACTTGGGTTCTAGCTGAGGCTTTGGAATGACAAGGCTGTGTCTCTTTGATCAGATCGATAACCTTTCAGGGCCTCAGTGTTCTTGTCTGTACACTGGAAACGACCATGCTAACTAACATTCCTTCAGGAGTCTTATGAACAGAAGGAAAACTCAGTGCCTGCCGCACCTCAGCCACTGTTGGATGGCCAGGTGGGGGTGCTGGCTGGTGGCAGTGTCTGTCCTGCTCTGGGACAGCGGCTCTGCATTTGTGTTGCCTGGGGGCTGACAGTCGGGTCACTTCCCTGACGGCCATAGTGACACTAATTGTGTGAATCTGTGTCCCCACAGCGGCCAGTTTGCCATTGTGAAGAAGTGCCGGGAGAAGAGCACCGGGCTGGAGTATGCAGCCAAGTTCATTAAGAAGCGGCAGAGCCGGGCCAGCCGGCGGGGTGTGTGCCGGGAGGAGATCGAGCGGGAGGTGAGCATCCTGCGGCAGGTGCTGCATCCTAACATCATCACGCTGCACGACGTCTTCGAGAACCGCACCGACGTGGTGCTCATCCTGGAGCTGTGAGTGGGCTGTTGGGGCCCCTGGTGGGCAGCAGGGGCAGGTGGGGCGGCGGAAGCTCTAGCCACAGGTCCCGGAGGGCAGCAGCAACCGGACCTAAGCTCGGCCCAGAGGAGATCAAATCAGTGGTGGCTGGTTTCCCTCAGTTACCCCCAGCCTCCTTTAAAACCTGAGCCAAAGCAGGGACCAAGCAGCAGGGACAGAGGCCACACAGGACAACAGCCTAGGCCTGGTTTTCACTGGGCCCTGGGAATCAGAGGGAAGACATGACTGATGAATGCTGGGGCCATTTCCCCGCTGGCAAATGGATGGGAGGGTGGAGGGGGATGGGAGAGAGGGGAGCAGGGGAAGCTGTCAGGCAGGGGTCTGTTCTAAGGTCAAGGGAAGAGGAAAAACCCTTTGGGCTTGGCGAAGCCCTTCTCTAGCCCTTTCCTGGAAAAATCCACTGCATTTGTGCTGTGATGATTTTATTGTTATACTAACTATTATTTAGAGAGCATTTGCCACATGATTCATGCTTGCCATCTGTCCAGTCCTCACAGGGACTGTGGTGAGGGACGTGTCCTACTGACACAGTGAGGTTCCTTGGCGTTCGCTGTGCCTAGCAGAGCTCTTACCTCAGTTACTCCTCGTAATAACCCTGTCCCTGGGAGGCTCTTCTTAGTCCCACTTCATCAACGGGAACGCTGAGAGACCGGGTCACTTACCGGGTCTGGTAGCCAGGAAGCGGTGGGGCTGGTGTTGTGGGACCGACCTGGGCCCAAACTCTCAACTGAGGCCAGCCAAGAGACAACTCTGAGATGATTTTATAAAAAGGAACGTTATGGCGACCTTATAAGCAAGGAACACTCCCAGAACAGTATGTCTCTCGAGCAAAACATCTGATCCCTCCTGTTGGGGGACGTCCTGCACAAATGTCCAGTGAGCTTTGTCTCCGCATGTGCAGGCGGAGACGTTCAGGGCACCAGCAGTCAGACAGCGTGGCTGTATGTGCATCGCATGCTAAAAATGGTGGAAAAGCTCCACCTCCGGTCGGAGATGTTAGTATGATCGTGAGAAAAGTTCGTGAGGAGGTCACTAGAGGGTCTTAAAAGCTGCTTCACCTGGTCTCAGGCAGTTCCAGCTGGTTCAGCCCTTGGTCCTGAGAAACATCCTGGGCTTGTTCCTGAAAGCAGTCCTGGCAATCGTCAGCATAGGGGATTGCGGTTGTTCTGGAAGGAATTTTAGCTGATTACGTCTTGGTCTTTCTGTGACACTTGGCAAATTACAACATACACATCACACAAAACATATAAATTCTAGGGTGATCTAAGTGGGGTTGCAGGTTAACCAAGACAAAGTTGTAAGCTCTGAACAGAATGTTAATCTATGCTAGGCTACGTAGCTCGGTTAGCTTACCCCAGGACTTGCGTCCGCACTGCTTGTGCAGACAGCTGTGAGCATGAGGTAGGGTGGCCTGATGCTGGCCCATCCTGTTGGAATCCGGATAGGTGACACCACGTTCACAGGGACTGTCCCTCCTGGAGGTGTCTCCATGGAATGGGAATGTGGGGTTCTGCCAGACAAGAGAGTTTGAGTTGTACTGTGACACAAGTCACAGTGGCTGTGCCCAGTCAAGCAGCAAGACACTGTGTCGACAATGTTCTGAGCCTCGTAGGCACGGATGCACCTGCCAGTCAGCAGAGGAGTGGAGGCATTAGTCTCAGCAATCACTGACTTCATAATCTTGGGGAAAGCAACCTCATTCCCCTCTCATCAGTAAACCAGGCAGCCATCCTCAACCTGCCTATGGGTGGGGTGGACCACGTGACGTTTGAGGTCACTCTAATTTGAGACCAATGCTCTGGTGTTGCTAGGATATAGATTTATGTGGCAGATGGGCACTTGCATGCTCTTGCATTTGATCCTTAAGTCATCATCTCAGTGTTTAAATGCATAGTGTTGCTTACGTTCTCCCCTTCTCTAACTCCCAGTGTCCTCTGCATTTCTCCCACGACCCTCCCAGCCAGCTGGACTAGTTGGTCTGTGCACTGCCTGGCCCAGACAAGCCTGGTGGGCTCCCACCGGGTGCGCAGCCATGTGGACAGCCCAAGGTGTGACATGCCCCAAGCTTACCCCAGCTAAGGGGCAGCAGTTGGCACACTGATTCCTAGCAGAGAGTGATAAGCCCACCTTCGCTGGGAAGGCCAGGCCACTTCTTTAAAGAGTCTGTCATCAGAAAAACTTTATAGTAACTGAAGAGAAATTACATTCATAATCCCATTGCCTAAACACAGCTATTTATGCTTTTTTTGTGTGTGTTTCCTCTCAGTCTTTGTCTGTATACTATCACTGCACTTGTAGAATTTCCTGCTTTCCTTTCCCCCCAGTTAACATGATTCCCTAAGTGGCTTTTTCCCTTTTAACCGACTATATTGTTTCATTAAACTACATACCTGTCTCCCTCTTCTTGATCATTTGGTTTTTATTTTCCATCTTTTAATCATTATACAGTTTACTGCTATAAAACAATTTTCTTCCCATATTTTCCCCTTTTCTTTTGAACTAATTCTTTCAGATAAATCCTCAGGACTGGGATGAGTTGGCTGACATTTTTAGGGCTCCTGATACCCTCCCTTGCACAGGATGGCTAACCGGTACCACCTGTGACACAGGTTCCTGTTTGCCTGCAGCCTGGCTGGCCCAGGGTCACTTGTTTTAAAACGGGGTTCATTACTCACTGCCCTATATAGTTATAAAAAGACACTTTGTTGTCACTTTAATTGGTGTTTCTGTAATTGCTGTGGAAATTGCCTGTTTCTCCCTGTTGGTGGAACCACAAGGAGTCGGGATCTGGGGTGATTTTGAGATATCCCCATTTCTTCCCACAGGGCTCATGGTCAACCAACAGTTATGTGCCCTCTTCTCGTGAACTGTCACCATTGTTACATCAGTTGTCACACTGGTGCTGCTGTGACTTGCTTGAACTGCTGTGTTTGTTGAGTTCTGTCTGTTCCTCGTTTTTCTGGCCCCTCCTTTACTTTCAAGCTGTCTTACTGCTCAGGGTGCCTGTCTGCATGGAGTGCTAGGAATTGCTAAGACTGCCTAAACCACACATGACCAGGGAGTGAGAGGGAGGGCCTCCTGGGAGAGAAAGGCTTTCCATGGGCTTTTGTGTTTGGGCTTGGTGACTCCTATTGGGCTGATCAGGAGCCTTTGGCCTCCTGGTCCTCACTGCGCCCTACTAGGTTAGTGGGTTTGCCCAATGGATATTAGTGCCCACATGCTCAGTTGCAATTTGCAGGCTTGTGAATGGTTCTACGCTGGTACCACTCCCCCTTAGCACCTGTGGTCCGGTGTGGGTTTCTTCCTGAGTTCTGCTAAAGTGGCCAATGCTAGGAGGACATGTCCAGCTCTGTGCTTCCAGGGACTCTGATCTGAGTCCCTGTCAGCTGTTATTACCTCAAGCATAACGTCCTTAGCAGTAGCTGCCTCTGGTCAGGGCTGTTGAAGACCAGGCTGGGAAGGATTTAGTTGTCCATATATATACAGTTGACTTCAATATAGTGTAAAGGATATTTTCAAAATTTCAATAGATTAACTCATGTCACATGTGAAGCTTGCTCTGAAAAATGTACCCCTGCCCTGGGAGGGTTGGGCAGGCCTCCCATCCCAGACCCCGGGCACTCTGGGGCCTCTTGGACTCTGAGCCCATGGGAAGCTGTACCATGGCAGTTGCATACCAAAGAATGGCCTGGCAGAGCGCTCCAAGGTGGAGGCAGTGCTTCCCAGTTCCCTGAACTGAGTCCAGCTTCCTGGGCCCCAGGAGCTTTATCCACATTCTTTAAATCACTGCCTATAGGTCATTGGAACACACGCTCCCAAAGGAGTTCTGAAAAATGTTTCCAGCAGGGAAACCCACCTGCAGGGAGGAAGGAGACAGAGGTCAGATCAGAGGGAAGGGGACTGACCCTGGGAACTCTGGAGGGAGAGCAAAGGAGGCCCAGATTATTAGGCTTGGCTTTCCCCCTGCAAGCTGAACAGGTTTGGGACGTGAGAGGAGAGAGGCTTGGGAGGGGGTGGGGAATGGCCCCAGCAAAGAGGTCTTGGGGCCAAGCAGCACTTGGGAGAAACTCTGTTGGGGAGAATGAACAGGACCTTGAGAAGAGTTGCCTGAGCATTGATGAGTGTCCCCAGCATGGGTGTCCAGAACTTGGTGGGAAGCTCATCAACCTCCCACCTTCCTGAATCTCAGGGGGAGATTCTAAGGGCCACTTTGGCTATTTCCTTCTTCACTCAAAGGAGCTGTGGTCTCACCGAGTCTCCTGTGCAGATCACACCTTCAGACAGAATGGCTGTTACTGTCCCCAAAGTTATCACATAGCTTTCATGTCGGGGGTTTTGTGTGACTGGACACGTCCCCATCACCACGATATGCTTTTACACTTGTGCAGCATTCCATTTAAGGTGGGAATGGTAAGCTGTGCCCCAGGTCACAGCCTCACAGGACCATGTGGGGTCTGGGAGTATTAACAAGTGAGGGCTGCTGGGTCCTGTGTATTTCCAAGGGGGACACTATCGACTCAAACATTTGCAAAGGGCTCTTGGACAGGTCTCTTGCAAATGCCGAGGTGTCACTTCTATTCATGATCTATTCTATGTCGTGTTTATATTTGAAATTTTTTCTTTCCTTTGTTCTTTTATTCATCTACCTTCTGTTGAATGTCTTTCTTGTACAAGGTGCTGTGAAAGCAAAGATAATCTAGCTGGGGAGACAGACAGATGATGGTACCCGGCATGACGGGGACATGGTGCTGCTGAGCAGGGTGCCAGAGGACTTGCCCAGTGCTCAGGGTGCCTGTGAGCTTTCCTTTCCGCCTCAGCAACTCCAGCTGTACAACATGGCAGACTGGAGCTGAGAAGGTCCGTGTCTAAATCATGGTTCTGCCATTTATTAGCTATGTGACCCTGGGCCAGTCACTTGCTCTCTTGGTAACTTCAGTTTTCTCATTTGAAAAGTCAAGACAGAAGCTCCATCTACCTCTCAGCGTGGACATGAGTGTCCAGGGAAAGACTGCCTGAGGCGGCACATGGCACAGCAGGCCAACTCTAACTAAACTGCAGATAAAGTCCTCCACCTCTGCCACCGCTGGCGACGGTGTAGTGCATGGTGTTTACTCAAGGACTCGACTGAGGGTCTTATAGCCCTTGTCCAGTTTAACAAGATTCTTCCCACTCCCCCCTCTAAAGGGGGCCGTTAGGCTATTTTTTAAAAAATTTCTGTTTTACAAGAAGGAAAGCTGGGCTCTGGAACTCTCATGTTCTGCACCCCAGGGTGAAGGCAGAGTCTATGTTGAGAGAGCACTGGGGCCACCGTCCTGGCCCTTTGGCTCGGGCCTGCAGAGCAGACTTGGGGTTACTCCTTCAGCAACTGCCAGGGCTCTCCAGTTCCAGGCCCTGCCCCGGGTTGGGGGACAGAGGATGACCTCACCCATGGTCATGTGGGTGGGACAGAGCGGGCCACATCCAACTGGCTCTGAGTAGAGGAGCACTGCAGCTCTGCCCCAACAGACAATATGCTCGCAAGTGCCATCTCGTCTCACCCTCTCTTTACCCTTTCACCTTCTCCTTCTCTCTTTCCTGTTCTTTCTTTCTTTCTTTTTCTTTCTTTCTTTCTTTCTTTCTTTCTTTCTTTCTTTCTTTCTTTCTTTCTTTCTTCCTTCCTTCCTTCCTTCCTTCCTTCCTTCCTTCCTTCCTTCCTTCCTTCCTTTCTTTCTTTCTTTCTTTCTTTCTTTCTTTCTTTCTTTCTTTCTCTAAATATTTACTCAGCAGCTATTATGTGGTAGACACTGGACATAAAGTCTAATGCATGCCTAATTCATGGCTTCTGCCCTTGAGGAACTCACATCCCAGCAGGAACATACACTTCTGATATTTGTCCTTCTACTTAAGGGAGATATTTTTAGCTTCATTTGATGGGTGAGAAAAGACCAAGGGGGAGAGTGACTTGCTAGTGAGAGGCAGAAGCAGTGTGCCAGCAGGTCTTCACCTCACTCCAAAGCCAGCCAATGCACAGGGGCTCAATGCCACATACGTGTCCCACTCTCATCCCCGTCTCTGGGCCTTTGCTTGCACTGTTTTCTTGCCTGTCACACCTGCCCTCATTCTCTGCTTCCTCTGTCCAGGCCCTGCCCGAGTCTCACTGTGCTCCCGGCACCTTCTCCTACCACTTGAGCCCGTGCTAACCACATGTAACAGAAATCCCCACAGATGGAGCTGACAGAGTGCTGTCCTCTGCCTGTCACTGTGCCAAGAACCCTGCTTGGTGCACTGGCTAATTTGCTCATCAGAACAAGCCGGGGGTAGACCTTCTTGTTACCCCCGATGTCTGAGAGACATTGCTGAGAGAGTTAGGGCAACCAGTATCAGGCACATGCTAGTGCATAGAGACAATGTTAGAGTTAGTGCATGGAGACTGTGGCTGGGGCTTGGACGTGGTTTTGACCACGTACTCTCTTGCTGGGGCGCTCTGCATGGGTACTTCCCTTCCTGTGGGCCTCAGTTTCCTCATTGTTATGGAAGAACTTCCATGTGGTGGCAGTCATTATGTAGGAGGCTGGCCAAGGGAGAACATGGAGTCTTTTCCCCTGGAAGTTTGTCATTAATTTCTACTTTGGAGAATTTCAAACATATACAAAAGTAGAGAGAATAATGTCAGGAACCCCCATACGGCCATCACTCAGCTTTGAGTTATCAACATGTGCCAGTCTTGTTTCAAACAAAATTCCTATTCCCCCCAATCCATTTGTTTGTTTGTTTTAACATTTTAATATTATTAAATTTTAATATTAAATTTTAAATAATTTTGAGTATTTTAAAGCAAATCTCAGACATTGTGTCCCTTTATATGTGAATACTTTAGTATGTCTCGCTAACTGATGACAGTTTTTAAAAATGAGGCCATGGTGTACTTATCACCCCTGGCGGAATCACCCAGCGGGCCTCGTGACCGCCGACGCTGTCTGTGCTCCAGCCAATAATGTGTTTTCCCATGGACCCACAGACGCCTTTTTACAGTTGTTTTATTTGAATAAGCATCCAAATGAAGTCCCCACACTGCATTCAATTCCTTTGTCTCTCACTTCACTTCTATTCTATAGCACTTCTTTTTCCCCTTTTTCAATTCCCCTTTTTCGCACTGATTTGTTGGGAAAACCAGGTCCTTTGTCCTGTTGACTGTCTCACAGTCTGGGTTTGGCTCAGTCTTTGTGGTGTTAACTTGTCCCTCTATCCCCAGTATTTCTTGTAAACTAGAAGTTAGACCTAAACTAGATGCCCTGCTTATTGGCATTGTCCAATAGAAATGTAACACAGACCACACATGCAATTTTAGATTTTCTGGTAGCCACATGAATAAGAAGTAAAAAGAAATAGGTGAATTAATTTCAATAATATTACATTTAACCCAATATTATTTGAACATGCAATCAATATAAACATTATCAATGAGATATTATACATTCATTTTTCATACTACATCTTCAAAACCCAATGGGTAAGTATTTTATGCTTATAGCACATCTCAGCTTATTAGCCATGCAGTGGTTAGAGTGAAATGCAATCCTACCAAAGCAGTAAAGTTGTGTTTAGAGGAAAATATTTTGCATCACTTCAATTTGTTAATTAAAATGAATTAAAATAAAATGAAGTTTAAGATTCAGTTCCTCAGTTGTGCCAGCTGTATTTCAGGTGCTCAGTAGTCACGTGTGGCTAGTGGCTGCTGGACTGGACCGTGTACGTGGAGACTGTTTCTATCACTGCCGGAAGTTCCGTTGGACAGCACGGACGAGAGGCTTAAGCAGATTTAGGTTTGATTTTTTTTAAGTGGCAGTATAATAGGTGGTGCTGTGTACTTCCTATTGTACCACATCAGGTTTTGTTATTTTAGTTTCATGATGCTAAGAATGATTAGTAAGTCCAGTTGTGCTTCCAGACATTTTTAAAGAAAGGAGAAAGAAGATTTTGATGTTTTCTACATAGGACAGACTGGGTGGCAGGGAGTGATTCCCAAAACTGGGACAGAAACCATTCTGGCTGTGTAAGAATTGTCCTAGGCCCTCAGTATGACATGGTGGTTGAGAGTCATTCTGTCTGCGTTTGAATCCTGATTCTACCACTTACTAGCAGTGTGACCTTGGGCAAGTCACTTAACCTCTTGGAATCTCTGTTTCTTCAACTCTGAAGTAGAAGAGTAACAGTACTTCACTCGTAGGGAATTGTGATGGTTAAATAAGATGATGTGCATACAGTATACATTAGGCACAGTGTAAGTATTCAATAAATGTTACTTGCAGTTATGTTGTTGTTATTGTAAAACTACAGGTTCCAAGGCCCTGCTGCTCAAGAATGTAATTCGGTAGGGTCTGTGGTGGGACCTGGGAATAGGCATTTTAAGTAAGTTCTCTAGGTGATCCTGAATTCCCGGACTGCTTGGCCCAGATCCCTTCCTGAGACCTTTTCCTGGGGTTACCCTTGGCTCTGTCCCTGCCCCAGAGAAGCACCTGCTGACTGGATACCCTACCATCTGTCAGAGGGTTGCCAGATTTAGCAAATAAAAACCTCCTGTTTTATCCGGCAGTCCTAAATCTGTAATTCAGATAAAACTGTGAACTAGTATTTACAGGGGAGATTCTCTTTGCTCTGTGGGTCTCCATTCCTGTCACAGCTACTATAAGGTGCAAGAGTGTGGACTGTGAGGACAAAAGTAGTATTTTATAGTTTTTAAAGATGAATATCGTTAATGAGTCTTTATGTTTAAAGTAGGCCATCTTTTATAAAATCGAAGAAAGGGGCTGTAGCAGCCCCCTTGCTCAGCGGGCTCATTTCGCAGGTGCGGAAGCAGGCCTGTGTGGAGGCCGTCAGTGGGTTGTCCAAGGCCAGTGGCAAGACTAGACGGGAACCCAGACCTCCAGTTTCTGGCCCAGCGTATGTCATTCTTTGTCATCCTACAACTCTTGTTTCTGTCCTCTGCCACCTCAGGCACATGTGGGGAGAGGTGACGCCCATGGCAACCAGGGACCTGGGTCTAGATTGTGAGCCTGGGGCATTCTGGTGACACCCTCAGGATAGTTCTTGCCGCTGTGACCCGAAGGGATAAACACAGCAAACAGAAACAAAGTCAGCGCCTCGTGCTGGCTGCACAGAGCCCCAGAGAGGCGCGAGGGATCCTGCCACACAGGGCGCCCAGGGGCCAGGCTTGGGGACTGCACAGCTTTCGCCCGGCCTCAGGACGCATAGGGCTGACCGGGCCCTCCTGCGCTGTCTTGCAGAGTCTCCGGAGGAGAACTATTTGACTTTCTGGCCCAGAAGGAGTCGCTGAGTGAGGAAGAGGCCACCAGCTTCATTAAGCAGATCCTGGATGGGGTGAACTACCTTCATGCCAAGAAAATTGCTCACTTTGATCTCAAGGTCAGTGGGGGCGGGGGCTGGTTAGGGAAAAGAACTGATTTAGGAAGAATGGACCTAGTCTCTTCCGATGTCATTGCCAAGGGGGGTCAGTGCCCACATGGCCCTCCTCCCTCATCTCACAGTTGAACACTCTGAGCTCCCAGGAAAGAAGCGATGCCACGGAAAGCGTCCACCTCCCCAGTTTCATTTGTCATATTAGAGTTTCTTCACAGAGTAGACTGCAAGGAACCTCTTAATCAGACCACATGTTCCTTACCTCTTTGAGGAACAGGTGGGGTGTAATTTTTAAATAAGTAGGCCAATGACAGGAAACTCAAAACCAAACACATTTAACAAGACTGGACTTTTCAGTAAGCAAGAGCTAACTGCCGAGGAAGCAAACTAGAAGACTTCAGAGGGGACGGCTGAGGTGGGCTGGCGCTCCAGCATCCCTTAACCAGAAGTTGTATCTGGGATCACTGGCCTCCCTCCCCCAGCCCGCCCCATACTGTGGCCATCACACTGCTTCCAGGACCCACTGATCATTTGTGGTAGCTGTTCTTCAGGGTCAAGAAGGTTCACTGTGACCACACAGGACTTTAAAGCAAGAGTGTGGTCAAAGTGAAATGATCATTTCCCGTAGTTACTGAGCTCCTTTGCATAGATAGATGAGCCTGTTCAGGCACCCAAAGCATAAAGATCTCTAACCCATGATCCGAGGGACCTGTTTACTAATTTTCCTACCCAGAAACTCCTGTTGTGTTTCAAGCACTGTGCTGGGTATTGCTACAGACACAGAATAAACCGAGGCCCTGTTTAGGCTTAGTTCCTCTTCTCCAGTGAACTTAGTGCAGAAGACAGAAAAGAAAGATCAACAATTCTAAGTGCTGTGACAGAGGGAAGCACAGCAGGGCTAGGGAGTCTATAGGAGGGGCACCTAAACCAGACTGGGGCATTCGAGAGGGCTTCCTGGAGAAGGTGGTATCTGAGTTGAGTTTTGAAGGCTGGGCAGGCATTATGAGAGGGGAAGGGTCTTCTTAGGAAGAGGCCAGCAGTGTACATGGCCCCAAGTAGCACAGTGCATTCAGGGAAGTACCGACAAAGGGTGAATATGCTGAATGGCTGGGCTGGAGAAGTCAAGAGGGTGTGGGAGCTCAGCCAAGGAGGTGGAACTTTACCCTGAGGGATACTGGGGGCCAGGTGAGCATGGAGGTGAGGTAAGCAGGTGTGTGTTTCAGAAAGGGTCCTTCTGGCCAGAGGGTGGGTAGAACGGTGGCAGCCTGAAGGTTGGGGTCCCAGCTAGGAGGTTAGTGCATTAATCAGGTGAGGCATAACAACTATCAAACTAACTTGAGGAGGAGACAGATTTAAGACCTGCTTCAGAGGTTGATCCGAGGATTGATTGGGAGCCTGATTAGATTCGGGAGATGAAGGAGACGGCAGAGCCCAGGGTGACACCTGAGTTCTGACTTGGGGGACAGGTCCCGAGGCCACAGCATGCCCATGGCCTGACAGCAACTGTGTCAGAGCGGGGGCTCAGTTCTGGGACATGGATCTCACCCCCATGCTTACTCTACATTGGGAAGCGACCTGCTGTGTGTCTCTTCTCCTTATGCCGATTGTCATTGTCACAGTATATTGAAATCCTCCAACAGAAGACTTCTTACAGAGCTTCACTTAAGTCTCAGGAGGTAAAAAGTTGGGGCCACTGGAGAGGGTATGGCCTGGGCAGCCCCTTGCACCTCAGTGTGGAAATGCACCAAGCAGGAAATGCTCTACCTGGATTATATCTGTGCCTCCTTCCCTGCAAGACTGTGGGCAATTAGCTTGTTTTTCATGTCTGTGCTGGCTCCAGCAGACCAGCTTCAAAATGGGCTCCTTCGCCTGTTCTCTAATGTGGGGGTGCCCAACCTCTGGGCCTCGGACTGGTACCGGTCCAGGTCTGTTAGGAATGGGGCTGCACAGCAGGAGGTGAGCTTGAATGCAATGCCCTTGAATCATCCAGAAACCAGCCCCTCATCCTGGTCTGTGGAAAAATTGCCTTTTATGAAACAGGTCCCTGGTGCCAAAAAGGTTGGGGACATCTGGAAACGGGCCTGGTAGAGGTAGGAGGGGTTGTGAAGGCCTGCGGGGCCCATGAACTCAGCAGGCCTGTGCTGTGTGGTTTGCTTCTATGGCAGCTGGAGTTAGCTAGGTCAGTGTTTGCATCTCCCTCTACCATGTACCAGGATACAACTGAACCTAAGTTTTCTAGCTTCCGTGCAAACAATGATACCTGCCTGGCAGAGCTGTTGTAAGGGCTACAGAGAAGCAGCGTGAAGTGTGGAATACCAAATAGGTGCTCTGTAATCATAGCTGGTGGTGTTATTTCCCTCAGCAGAATAGAGGGGGAAAATACAACTCCTGTTACAGTGTTTTGGGCCCCAATTGACTGGGAAGACAAACCCTGCCAGTGCCATTCTCCATCGCCCATCCGAGAGCTGATTGGCTGCCGGGTGGAACTGCTGGTGCAGGATCTTCACTGGCTCCTGGGCTCAATCTGGATGTTTTCCACAATCTGGAGATGGACTGGATTTCTCCTGGATGCGTGCAGGGTGAAGATTCAGCTAACACCCACCCCAGCCTTCTCTCCTTAGAGTTATGTGTGGACTCTGAGTCTTCTGACTTGCCACCAGTGGGTCCCTTGGCCTGGGTCCAGCTGGACAACTTCGGGAAGTGATAAATAGGGGGACCTCAGCGGGATGACCCCCTGATTGGGTAGACACTTCCTGGAGCCAGAATGGGGGTATGGGTGGCCCCTGGCTGACACTTTCCACCAGCTGGAGGGGATCACACAGAGAAGACCCAGCTCAGAGGGGACTTCTCGGTTCTAGGTTGTCGCCCATCTTATCAAATTCATTTGGTATGAATATAATTTTATTCTTGGTCTTCATTCTCAATGAGGGGTCTCTGTTTTCCTCTCCTCTTTTATTCTGCCTCACCAAGCGAGCCAGACTACCCATGTGGTGTCCACGCTCCTACCCATGACCTGTTCTCCACTCTTGCTTTCCAGCCTGAAGGAGCAGGTGATGGAGGAGGGTCAGCTTTCTGGCCTGCTTTCAGAATACAAATAACTTCTATTCCTAAGTCAGCCATTGTACGGGGGACGGTGAGCCTCTGTCCCTGCTTGTGACATGCTCCCAGCTCCGTGGCAGGAAGCAGATGAATGGACACAGTAACACTGATAAGCAGTCCTGGTAAACTGATCATGGCATGCTGTTGCCTAGAAATCTGATGAATCCTTATCACCCACGTGCATTCTCAGTGTGGCTCTCAGGCCTTTCTTACGCTGCCTTTGCCTTGATTCTGGCCTCGTCCACCTTTCCCTACTCCCAGACATTAGTCCCAGCCAGGCAGATCACAGATACCATTCTGGCCTTTCTCCTCCTCTGTTCCTGCTGTTCCCATCCGGGATGCTGCTATTCCTTTTCTGTGCTTGTGGACTTCCACTTATCCTTCAAGGCCCAGCAGAAACATCATTTCCGCTGGGAAGCCTTTCCCCTCCCTGTCACCTCCCAAAGCATAACTGAGAACTAACCCTCCTCTCTGCTTCTGTTGCCCTTTGTACAGACTACTGCTGAGAGCATTTGTCACTGTGAATCACTTTCTGCTGCTTGTGTCTAGCGCAGTGACTGACACATGACAGGTTACTCAGTGTGGAGCAAGTGAGTGAGTGAATGAATGAAAGCCTTAGTGAGACCAAATGCATGCATGGATGGCTAAGGCCCTTTTATGTCAACTGGAAAAAGCAAAGAGGTCGCAGGCAGATTTTGATTCAGTGACGTGAACATTTGTTGAGGGACTACTTTAGGCCAGAGGGTAGAGTGACAAACATCAACGGGATATGGCATCCGCTTCCCAAGGGCCCACCATCTAGTGGGAGGTAGCCACCTAAAATAAAAGCTAACCCGAGAAATGCTCACTTCCAGGGGGCAAGCTCTCTGCCTCGGCAGGGTGAAAACCATCCTGGAGTGGGGTGTGGATTCGCCACAGAGAGGCCTGCCGGTGTGGGAAGCAGGCGAACGCCTGTGTGCGTGCAGACGGGAGGGACACGAGGGCTGACCGCTGCTCAGTACTGGGTAGCACCTGATGTGGCTTCAGACACGCCTTCCTCAGGATGGGTTAGCAGAGATTGGGGCTCAGTTCCACCCAGGGACCTCGCCCTCGTATATAATCCCAACCCAAATAGAGGCCTTGTAAAGGGCATTTTGTGTGGTTTTCTGTTTATTTTGGAGTTAGGAGTTTCCTCCCTGAGTAAGGGTGTGCCCCCACCCTCCCCGACTGCCTTAACCCAATCTACTTGAGAATTCAGAAATGGAAGGTAGTCCTCAGGTCTGACTAGTATTTTAAGCGAAAAGAGTAAGACATGAGAGTTGAATGAAATTGTATGCAAGCCCGTAACCAAAAACTCTGAAGGGGCGCTTTCTGATTTATATAAACAGTGTCAAGCAGCGATAACTCCAAAACCTTTGATTCCTCTAGCCCTGATCACCCTTTGAGCTGCTCTTCTGTTCACGATGTGGTGGGGTCTGCTCTTTGAGCTTTCACAGAATGGTACTAATAAATGCTCTAATATACATGGTGCATTCTAGAAGGTACATGCTTACATCTCTTCTCTCATGTGATTCACAGCCATGCACTGAAGTGCCAGGTATGGCCACTTTTTCACACACAAGGCAGTTGAGATTCAGGGCAGGTTAAGTAACTCATTCAAGGTCACACAGGTATTAAATGTCCGGGCTTGGACTTGAGCTCAGTCAGTGAGGAACCATTAAGCAAAGCTGGGTGTCACCAGCTTTTATTTCACCAGATTCGAGCAGTGCAGATTCTCCTGTGGGCTACACCTTTTATATGCGGCTAATTCGAAGGTTTGCACTGTTGTACACACTTGTTCTTTATGCAGTTAACTCCTCAGTTACATTGTCTTCTCTTTCTAATGAACTGTTCCTCATTGGATATGAGGAATATTTAATTATAATTAT